CCCCAATCCTAGATCTTCCACTCAAGTTTCAAGGTCCAGGGATAGAAGTTCGACTGATTTGGCTTGAGTCACCTGCCTACCTTCACTAACGGAGGACAAGGCACCAGAACTTACAGTCCCACTAAGAGAGCATACATTGGAGAATGGGAAATACAACTGCACAAAAGGAAAATGGGGAGCTATTAGCAAGGGGACATGTATACTGATTGTCAAAAAGAAAAAAAAAAGAAAAAAAAAGACCACATGAATGTACATCAAAGGGGTAGCCAAGGTAGGCAGAGGAGCAGGATGGTCTACTATCAGAAATGCCAACGGAGGAGAGTTTCAAAGCATCAAATGTTGCTTAAAGGATGAGAATAATAAGGTAAAAAGACCTGTAATACAATCAGTTGTATTGAACTTTGGATACAATTTTGGTAAAGTAGATGAGTAAATATAAAAGTTAGGTTAGAAAAGAAATGCATTGATGAGGGGTCTGATTTTTAGTAAGTTTATAAAATGTTTCTTCCATGGTATCAGTGTACTTTATCTAGATTAAGCAACTCAAGGCAGCCTTGGAAGCATAGTCAAGTCTTTAAGTTTGGATCATGGGTGATAGTTTCACTTCCATTTTCATTAGATATTTGAGAGCCAGTTCTGTGTTAGGGCTACTCTTCTAGCTCTGAAGATACAACAGTGAACAAGGTCCCTGCTTTCCTCGGGCTTATAGTCCAGTGAGACAGATAACAGGTCAAGAAATAATACCTTCAGATGGTGGTAAATGCAATAAATAAAATTAGGGTATTGTGAAAGTGATGAGAGGTCCACATTACGTGGGAAGGACTCTCCAATGAGGTAAAATCTGAAAGACAAGGAGTAAGCCACATGAAAACCCAGAAAAGCTGGTATAAAAGTCCTAAAGCAAGAGTGAACTTGTGTACATTTAAAGAACAAAGTTCAATGTGACAAGCATAGGAAGCAAAGGAGTAAATGCTATCATATGAGCATGCAAAAGAAAGCAGAGGATAGATCATGTAGAACTTCCAAAAGGAATCTAGTTTTTATTCTAAGTGCAAGAGGAAGCTACTAGAAAGTTGTAACTAATGTGAACTGATATATCTTTTTCAAAGATCCCTCTGACTGCTGTTGTAGGAAACAGATTATAAGGAAGGTGAGTGAAAGCAGGGAGATTAATTGGGAGGTTACTGCTGTAGCCCATGTGAGAAAAGACTTTGACTTACAGTATGGTAGTAGCAAATGGCAAGGGAGAGACTATATTTAAGACACATTTTAGGTATAACTGATAGAACTTGCTGATTAGATGTGGGAGTGAGGACATGAAAGAGACTAAGTGTCTTCAATGTTCGGTTCAAATGAAAATGTATGGATAGTGGTACATACTTAAATAGGTGATATACTTCTTTTGGGGGTGACTTGAGGGGTTAAGCTTGAAATATTTATTACACATTTAAGTGAAGATGCCAAGTTGATGGTTGGTTATACCAATCTGGAGCTGAGAAGAAAGTCCGGATTGAATTACTTACATATCAGCACCCTCCTTTTCATCAACTTGAGATAATTCCTTATCTACTATTTTCTAATCTAACCAACATCTTATCCATAAAAAAATATTTGTTAAAAATAATCGAGAAATGAATTAAGAAACCCCAAAATTCATGAAGAAAAATGCATTAGCCATAATACTACTATATTCCACTAATTGTCTTCTATAGAACTTGCCTTTAGAGTTTGGCTGACATAAGATTGATTGGCATTTTTCATAAAACTGCCTTCTGAAATATCACTGAGTACACTTTAATCAGAGTCCCTCTGTCTGTCAAATTCAAAACTCAAGGCTATAGCTAACATCCAAATCCATTCCAGACTGAGAGATTTAAGCATAAAATAGCACTTAAAAGAAAAAATAGGAAAATTTAAGTCATGGAGTGGCTGGGCAAGGGAAACAAAGGAAAATTAAACAAGTGGGACTACATCAAAATAAAAAGTTTTGCACATCAAAGGAAACCACTGACAAAGTGAAAAAACAACCCACTGAATGGGAGAAGATATTCACTAATGATACATTGGATAGGGATTAATATCCAAAATATTTAAAGAACTCACATAACTCAACAACAAAAAAACAATTGAATTAAAAAATACACAGAAGACCTGAATAGATATTTCTGTAAAGAGGAAATACAGATGGCCAATAGACAAATGAAAAGATTCACTAGGTCACTAATCATCAGAGAAATGCAAATTAAAACCATCTCGTGCCTGTCAGAGTGGCTATCATCAATACATAAAAGAACAAGTGTTGGCGAGGATGTGGAGAAAAGGGAATCCTATACACTGTGGGATTGCAAATTGGTAGAGCCACTATGAAAAATAGTCTGGAGGTTCCTCAAAAAATGAAAAATGGATCTACCTTTTGACCCATCAATTGCACTTCTAGGTATTTATTCAAAGAAAATCAAAACAATAATTCGTAAAGATCTATGCATTCCTATGTTCATGGCAGCACTATTACAATAGCCAAGATATGGAAGCAACCTAAATGCCCATCAATAGATTATATGGTTCACATATACAATGGAATATTAATCAGACATAGAGAAATGAAATCCTACCATTTGCAATGACATGGATGGCCCCAGAGGTTATTATGCTGAGCAAGATAAGTCTGACAGAGAAAGATAAATACCATATGATTTTACTTATATGAAGAATCTAAGGAACAAAAAGAACAAACTAATCAAAAACAGACCCATAAATATGGAAGACAATCTGGGACAGCAAGAGGGGAGGAGGTGGGAGGACTGGAAGAAAGTGGTGAAAGGTTAAAGAAGTACAAATTAGTAGTTGATAGATGGTCACAGGGATGGGGAATGCAGTCAGCAGTAAGGTAACGCTATGTGTAGAGCCAGAAAGAAGACAGAGTAATCGATGATCGTTTCATAAACTACATAAATATCTAACCAATGTACTGCATACCTGAAACTAATAAAAAATATCATGGAGTGGAAAATCTAAATAGGACACAAAACTCAGGAACAAAATAAAAGCAAAAAATTGACTACATAAAAATCAAATAAGAAAAACTGTGAAAAATATTTGCCATATCACAAAGGCCTAATACATTCCTTAACATATAAAGAACTCTTACAAATTAGTAAGAAAAAACTAACCACCCAATAGAAAAACAGAAAAAATGTAAATAGCCAGTTTATAGAAAAGGAAACAGAGTAACTTAAAAGCAAATGAAAAGATTTCTGACATCATTTATTAAAAAAGAACTAGAAAATGTAATATCGCACTACAAGATATCATTTTTATAAAGTTATCTATCAAATTGGCAAAAAAAGATAAACTACTGTGTTATCAAGGATGTGCAAACAAACACTCTCAAACATCACTGGTGGAAGTATAAATTGGTAGTCTCTCTGGAGGATAATCTGGGCAATATCTATCAAAATTTTAAATGCATATACACTCTGACCAATTCTTTATATCCTCATAAAAATTTAATTAACTTAAATATCCATCAATAAAAGAATGATTAAATAATAGTATATTTGTACACTGGAATATAACAGCAATTTTTTAACAGAAAATTCTATATGTGCTGATGTAAAAATAAGGTACAGATGTAGGTTTTGAAGAAAAGATGTATTTGTATTTTAGATAAATGGAATAGTTCTGGTAGGTCACACAAGAAACTGGTAATGAACTGAGTGACTAAGGGACAAGGAAGAAAAGAAGATTTACTTTTTATTGAATTTAAAATCTTGTGCAAATATTACTTATTAAAAAACAAACAAAAAACAAAGACTAAAAAAACATTTTTTCTTTAAGCACTGGTATATTTCCTATCATTAGACCAAGAGAGTTAGATAACCAATTATGTTTTTTCTTTGCCTTGGCATATATAACTTTTAATACAAAAATTCTCTTTACTTTGCTACTTTGCTTTTATCTTTCATCTTTTTTTTTTTTGAAAGTAAGACATAATTTCCATGAGTTCTCAAGCCCTTCATAAAGAACTCAACTTTTATATTCTCATAAAATAAGCTACACATAATAGCTATGTAATAGTGCCAAATGGGTACTAGAGTAATCGGGGAATCACTTCATAAATTATATAAATATATAACCATTGTACTGTATACCTGAAAGTAATATAAAATAAAAAAATAAATTACACATAAAATCACTATCAGAGTAATGGTATGTT